TGAACCCTATGTGGAGCACAGCAGGGGCAGCTATGGGCTGAGCTGGATGCAGTTAATTGGTGGGTGTCTGTCCACAGGCCGGATGAAATCGCCTGGCAGGCCAGATGAATTCTATGCCATATTATGCCTGCCCCTGCTCTGAAGGTTTGCAGGACACTTTCATTCCTTAGGTCCTATGTTCCAAGTGCCCCAATGATCTGTCCCTTCATTGTCACATTGTGCCCCTTCTCTTTCTTTTGACCCTAGCTGACTTCCTGCCCCTGGGGCAGGGGGCTGGACTTGATGATCTTCGAGGTCCCTTCCAGCCCTAACGTCTATGAAACCTATGAAATCTTTTGGGGTATAAGTCAATGTTCTGAATTTGGACGGCTTCGGAGAAAACCTGCCACCAGTTCCCAAATGGTCTCTCATTGAACATGAGGATCTTTTTATTGTTCTCATCTGTTACAACAGTGTTTGGATGTAGCTAGCTGTCACAGCTTTGGGCAGTGTGGGTCATGGCTGCCATCCAAACTGATACTGAGATGGTCTTTATGAGCCAGCCCTGTACAGTGTTGTGTTGGAGTTGCCATGCTCTCTGTAGGGCTTGCAAGTGCACAGGATGTGGGGCAAAGTCTCATTTATGTACCCATACCTCCAGCACTTCTTGTCTCAGTGTCCAGAGTGGATGGTGCTATTGAGCAAGTGGCAGTTTGAGATGGCTGTATGGATGAAGTGCCAGTCTGCAAAGCGTGAGAAATTCCTGCTAGGCTTGAAGTCATTGGTGGTGTCCCACTTTGAGATGACCTTGAAGACTTTACCCTGGTTGCATTTCACCTTCAGGTAACTGATGTGGTTGGGCCCACACAGTATCTAGGCAGGTCGTGACCCGGGATACAAGGGGCAACAGTGGTGTAGTTGCCAATGGAGAGTGTGAGGTGCCCAGAGACAAGGGGGAGGAGATAGATAGGCAAGCCAGGAACAGGCTGATTGTCTTGAGAGCGAGCAGCTGGGGTGGCATTTCCTGACAGAAACTTCTCTGGTTTTCCAGGCAGAAAAACGTTGTCTGCTGTATTGCCGTGGACAAATAAATGTGGTTTTGTTTTAGAGATGGCTATTTTGCTGTTTATGAATTTGTGTGTACTTTGTATCCTCAAAGAGATAAAGTCTGTCTCCAGGAGCTGAATCAGAAGGTATCCCTCTGACAGGGGCCAACCTGGGGGTCAAAGACCAAAAGGCCAGGTCTTAGGGTTCAAATAACCAGACTCACCCACTCTGGAAGCTATTTTGGGACTGACTTTCAAGGGGAAGAGACTATACAAGGCTGGGGTCCCAAGTAAATGCTTGCCTGGGGAATTTATAGCAAGAGGTGGCATTCCAGAAAGTAACACAGTGGGGCTTTTAAATAGCTATTGCACCCATAGAGCCACATTTGGCCAAAGTCACAACAGAGGAGTCAATGTACCACTGCCACTCTAAGGAGAGGCTTAGACCATTATGCCAAGAGAAAGTTTCAATTTTGGGAGCAAAAAGAAGACAGGGCTGATCAGCCTTCTAGGACAGCGTGAACAAGCACAGAACTTTGAAACAAGGACAGAGCAGGTACCGGGATAGCAGCCCAATATGCCCATGCAGAAGATGGTAGCATCCAAGGAGGGCTGTGCAGCTGGAGACCAAAGAAGCTGGAGCATTAAGAGTATCAATTGGACTTAACAGTTAGGGCTTGACTCTACAAACCCAAGGGATCAAGGACAGACAAGCTCAGGAAAGCAAGGGTCCCAATTAGTCAGGTGATCAGGAGCACATGAGTCAAGAGGCTGAGGTTCCTAAGGAAGTGGATGTAAGCGGGAGAAATACACTTTTGGGAGAAACACAAGCCACAGGGGTTCAGGAACAGGAATCAATGATCCACACCAAAGTCACCAGCCAGGGGGTCCAGAGCAGGCAGCTACAGTTGTACAGGAGAAATACACATGCCAAACCACAAGCCAGGAGCTGGCCATTAGAGGACAGAGATCTGGACTGGAATGTGGAAGCACAAGGGATCAAGGAGCCATCAATGCAGTCTGGAACCACAAGGCACCTAGGCTGGAGTCTGGAACAAGGAGTCAACGCGTAGAAACCAGGAACCAGGATGAAGCCAACAAGCAGGACCCAGGAAAAAAAAAAGAAAAAGAAGCCAGGAACAAACAAGCAGGACTTAGGGTCTGGGAGTCCATGAGCTTGAATCAAAGGTAAGAACCAGAAAACTAGGACCAACTAATAAGAAAACTAAGGCTGGATAGAGAGGCATCTGTCCTAGTAAGTTGCCTCCTAGGCATTAAAAGATCTCTTGCTTAGTGGCTTTGTGGGGAGGAGGCTTTTTTACTCATTCCACTGGGGAAGGAGGTACTTGGGCATCTAAGCTTGACTCCATAGTTGAGTCTTGGAATCTAGAGAGGCAGGGGCTCACCCAGTCTAGAAACTAGGCCTGAGAGATTACACCAGGCTCCCAAGTAAGTGCTCCCTGGGAGAATCCGAGACACCAAGTGAACACAGAATTCAGTGATAGAGGAGTCCAGATTCCCAGACATTTACTGTTAACAATCTAGTTCATGTTTCCTTTGAAGATGGAAAACTCTCTCTCACTGAATGGTCATTCATTGTAACTGTCAGTGTTTTCTAATTTTACTTTTAAAAAGGTGAATTTAGATACAACAGTATGTCCACTTCTAACATGTTTTAGCTTCTGAAGGAGTTAATGTCAAAACAAAAGTCTGATGGTATTCTCATTACAATTTATTTCCAATCTGGCTGAAGATTTGTCATCATCAGCAAAATTGTAATAAACCAATCTAAGCTGTTCAAACAAGTTTATTTTTCATGAGGACACCATTTAGATTGGTTCAAGTCTTATTTTGGGGGGTAAAATTTATTGAGAAGCTTGTGGTGAAAGATCTCCATTTTAGTAAATGTAATATTAAGCTAGAATGGTGACTGCTGTTTTTTGCAGCAACCATTTAAAATTCAATGTAGACCAAGACTTTTGACATAGTTACACATCTTTGTAAACTCAGGTTTGGATATATGTGATGTGTTAAATCTTAAAACCATTCAAAACTGTAGTTGCTGCAGAGTAAAGCTCTCTCCTTATTCAGCGAGACTGCATGTAGGAAGAAACTTGCTGTCCTTCACTTCAATAGTTATGAATGCATTTTTGAAGGAGTTAAAGGTGTTGTATTTTACCTATGAAGCCCTCAGGGGCTTGATGGCCCATTTTAGCTATGTTTTTTCTGGGCTGCTTCTCTTGGTGCTGAGGCTGCATGTGCACTTGACCCCTGCTTCAAAAAGAGGTACCATTGCTACTTTTGTTGAGGAATTTTATGCCCTCTCTATAAGGCTCTGGAACTGGTTACCCAGCCCATCAGCCCAACAGCTCCCTCAGTAGCTTGCTGTAGGACAGGGTGTTGTAATTCCTAAATAATTCCTTCTCACGCTCAGCTCCTGCTTATATTGCAACTATTGCCTCTTATATCAAGCCATCCTTGGTCAATATAAACATGATGAACAGCTGTTATGAACACGTGGAAATGCCAGGAATCTAGAAGCTGGCATGAAAGAGTTATGCCTGCCTGAATGACCCACCCTCTGGCCCTGCGGGCCCCTCAGCAACCCATGTATATCAAAGTTATGCGACTAAATTTAAAGAGCCTCCTCTCCCTCCCCCTACACGAGGATAAAAGGGGCTGTTTGGATGGCACAATTATGTGTGCTTCACTTGACTGGTTAAAAGTGACTCCTTCCTTCTTCCCACCCACAGGGTATGAATTGAGAGAAAGGGAGAAGTGAAAGTGGGAACATTTGCTGGGCAGAAATTCACGAGACACTTTTGATATATTCACAGGCTTCTGCTCCCAAAATGAGCCCTGATTTCATTGCTGTTTCAAAACGTTGAGACACAGCATGGCAATGCAGTGATGTTGTCTCATGGCATAAAGTCAAATATGTGGCACAATGCGAGGTCTTACACGTAGCAGTGAGATGATGCAATGCTAGGTCTTTTAACTGTTTTATATATTGACGAGGCCTTTTGAATTTACTCTGAAGTGGCAGGCACACTAAGTCTAGAGTCGGAGAGGAAACAAAAGCTGGATTAGAGGGAGAAGGGGCAAGGTCAGGCAGAATGCCTGCATTTTGGGGCTTGCTGTTTTAGGGCTGGAAGTGGCTTGAATTAGATTTTAGACCTCACTGGATAAGACCTCGTCTCTCTGGCCCCATGGGCCTCTGCTCAACCTCTCTGGCCCCGTAGGCCAGATGAGTGGCACAGGCATGGCCAGCAAGCCAGAACCTGTGCATGGGGTTGGTTAGATGGCCAGATCCAGCACAGCCTAGGCATGGAGGTGTAATCTGGCTGTGGAGCAACCCTGCATGCCAGCCTAAAGTGCCCACGTAGTACGAGGCAGGGCCACATCGTAGGGTCCACCGGACTCCCCATGGGTCCAAACACTGGAAAGCAGGGGAGTGGCAACTAACGCTGCCCCTGGCACACACCACCAAAGCTGTGGCCCTGGGGCAGCCGCAGCTGTGCCCCACCAGGGTGGCATCAGAACTGTCCCATGGGGCATGCTACTCTCATGCCCAGTGGCAGTGTTGCCAACTCTCAAGATTTTGGCATTGTTCTTAAAGTCTATGCTCTGGGAATGTGAAAAACGTAGCTTACTTTTATATATAATTATATTTGCGTGTGTGTGTTTGTATACATACACATATACATATAAAAGAAAGAACTAAGGTTTTCACAATCCCGAAACAGACTTAAAGAACCCCCAAAATCATGAGAGTTACCAATACTGCCACTGGAGCGCAGCACCTCAAGTCCCAGGCTCGGCCCCCGAGGACAAAGAGGCGAGGTTCAGTAGCCATGCCAGGCCCGTGACGTAGGCTCTGGCCAAGATCCCAGGGGAGGGGATAACGTAACCGGCGAAACGCCGTCGGAGCTTGCCCTCGCGTCACGTCAGGGCGGGGCCCGCAGCGCGTGGGCGGTGACGTAGCAGTCCCTAGCCGGCGAGGCCGGAACCAGTACGCGGCCCGCGTTGCCGGAGGCTGCGGAGGAGGCTGCACCGCCCGGAAGCGCCGGCTGGGCCATGGCTGCGCGCTGGGCGCTCTGCGGCCTGGCGGCGGCACGCGCTACCGGTTGCAGTGAGTGGGACCTCCCCCTCCCCTGCGGGGTCCTGCACCCTGGGGGGGGGGTGCAGTGCGCATGCGCCCCTTCCATGTCTGCTCCCCTCCCCGGGGGTGTCTCGTCCGCGTGTGTGTGGGGGGGCGGGTAGGGACATGAGTGGGTGTGCAGGGGGGGTATGGGGTACCGTCGATGGGGGTGTGTGGGTGTACATAGGGGTTTGCGCAGGGGCGTGTGTATGTGCGCATGTGTTTGCGTGCGCCTCATGCTTCAGGGTAGTTTGGAAAACAACTGCTTAAAATTCACTTAATTGAGTGAGTTTTAGTGACTCCTAACTTAACACTCATCTTTTTACTAGCTATTCTCATTCACTTCCCCTCCAGGCTCCTGTGTCATCCTTTGACTTACAGCTACTTGCATCCCTTCCCCCGCTCCCCCCAATCTGTCTTTCACCCACTGAGCACCTCAATTTACATTTTAACTGAGTCGCTTTCTTGCCTAGGCACTGGCCTCTGGCTGCTTTACCGCTTTATCCAGGAACAGCACAGAGCATCTGCAGACACTTCCTCAGCCTGACAAAGGGTGTTTGAGCCTCAAAGCTTGCTAAGAATTTTTCCAACTATTTCAGTTGGTCTAATAAAAGATATCAGATGTACTCAAAGAACCTTGTCTGCCTGTATTTAAAACTAGGCAGGCAAGATTTGTTGGGTAGATGTGATCTCTTTTCTTGGACCAACTGAGTCGTTAAAACAAAGTTCTTGGCGAGCTTTTGGGCACAAACACCCTTTTCCAGGCATATTTAAAACTAAGGAGATGAGTAAGAAAACTAAGAAAAAAAAATAAAGACCCCCAACTGTCTTTGCTCCCGATTGGTGGTAACT